AATTGTTGGGTTCTTTGCATCGTTACCTTTTCTAACATATCTTTGTAATAAAAGACTAAAGCCATCAATACACTGGGTTCAATTATAGAGAAAAATAACTCAGGTAGTGCGGGTGTTGAGTAAATAAAATGATCGCTCTATTGACGGCATGTTTGTTTTTTTGCAATCCTTGTGCGCGCGCTGAATTGCATCAGCAAATGCGCGCGCGAAAACTGTGTTCAGCCACCTTAAAGCCCTCAAATTTTATTCAACGCCGAATCAAACCGAATGACTTTCACCGAGTATATAATGTAGTCGTGTCACACAAGATCTTGAGAAACTGATGAAGAACACGGCATGCACTGACTCAAACGTTTGTTCGTTTAATAGCGTCCAAAATATAAGTGGCTTTACGTTTGAACCAGGTGCTGCCCGTAAATTATGCTCGAGTATGTATACTCGAACTCGGCTATCGTCAGTACTGATATCTGTCATACAGCTCAGTGGCAAAATAAACAAAAGAAGCTTAACAACAACGCTTTTAATTTTCTACACGTAAAAAGATATTACAGACTCACCCTTTTAGGCGTATAAAGACCCTTGTTATTTTGTCCTTCTGTCATCTTTTTCGCACTAATAGAGAACACTATAGCGGATACCAGTAATGCAGTAGTAACACAATTCATAGTAAATCGTGCCCAAAGACTACAACGAAAAAAGAAAAACAATACAAAGAACAAATGTTTCTGATAAGCAATGACATACAACCGTAAATAGATAGTTATACAGTGTAGTTGCGTATTGACTGTTAACCATGGTCCTATATACCTTGCAACCGGATGTCGAAGTCGGACGCCTTTCTTTGCCTTCCTCTTAAGCGCAACTCAAAGGCTTTTTGAAAATGAAATCAGGAATCTAGCTTATAGCTGAAATTTTGTTCCCTTTTCTGAAACCTTTTGAAATCTGTCTAAATAAATACGGAAGATAAATGTTTAGCAGGAAAGGAAAACTCGACACTGGGGTTCATCTAGGACTTCCTGTAAATGCGATTACCACAGCGACGGGTCAAGTCAAAGTATAAGTCATTAATCCGTTTATTTGACGGGTAGTTATAACGGATGCAAAAATTTTGTTTACGAAAAAGTTCTTCATAGTTCCACATTTAAAAAGTGCATTTGATCACATGTTGTGTAAAAGTTTTGTTGTTGCCACTGTTTGCCGAGTACTGAAAACGTATAAAAGAATGTATAATAGAATGTATGGAAAATATGAAGGGGGTAAATATAAACTTAGTTTCCGCCACATGTGCTTAATAAGGTCAGCGTGCGAAGCCTGGCTCTCTTTAAAGACGATTTTCAATAAAAGAGTAGGCACACTTAGCCCATAAGTTTATGCTTTTGCCGGTATACGTCGGTCAGAGACAACCAGTTTTGGATAAAATTTGTGCGGTCAATTTAGAAAAATCTGGGCAGTATTATGCATAACTGTGGTTTTTTGTGGCTTTTAGTGAACCGATAAGCTTTAGTGGAAGCTACAGCCTGAAAGGAAGAAGTCATCCAGGTCAGGTTTCTAATTTTAACGGTCGCACTTGTCAGAAAAGATTGAGATGGAATTGGTATGGGATCGACGCTCCCAAATGATGCCGAAAGCAAACTGACTGAAATTATCTGACTATTGTCGTTTCCACGCGGTGGCTTCAGCAGCCGTGAAGGAAGAAAAGAAAAAAAATGTCACTTTGAACAAATCGAGTGGCAAGTTTGTGTGACTGTATTTTGAGAACAAAAAAATACTGAAGGAACTAAAAGAACATGATATTGTAAGATGAATACAGTGCTTGAGAACCCTTCGGTGGAATACGATAGTTCAGCCGGCACGACAAATTAGTCTAACAGCCTGTGCAAAGATCATTATTAATCTTAGCTTACTTACTGAAAGGAAGAACTTCAGTTTAGGCTGATCGCTGAGTCATATGCTCGCAATATTTTCCCCGACTGAAGAGCCTGACAAGACAGTATCACGGAAACGATGCATCCGACTCGATCTGTTTCATTTATTTTTAAAGTCCGTTCATCCGACATGGTCACAAGAAGTTAAGAACTGCGATACCTGCCTGGTCTAAATACGTTTGTCTGAGGAAAAGACCTCGTGAAATAAGGATAACAAACTAGGTTTCTAAAATACTAACGGGACACTCCATGATTATACCGGCTGTCAGTCAACATTGTTAAAAACTGGATCATTGAATAATGTAATTTGAGAGTTTTCATTGGCTTAGCCATCTTGTATATGAGCCATTATAACATGCGCTACAAATATGGTAAGTGTGGGCGTGAATTTTTGGGACGTTTTTATCTTTTTAGTTTGTTTTCTACATTTTGGGGGCGTTTTTAATAAGACAATTGTTTTACTCGCGCTTGTTATATATAAGATAGTGATAGTCAACTTGACGTTCGCGCTCGTGGAATAATTAATTTGGAAGGTTTGTATGTATGGGTTATTGACCAAGTGTGAGGTTAAGACGGCTGGATATTGGCCTAGCTCGTTCTTTTTCTGCGTGTTTATGGACCGAGACTGAGTCGAGGTCCATAAACACGCAAAAAAAGAACAAGGCCAATATCCAGCCATCTTGACCGAACAAACTTGGTCAATAAAGGATTTATTATATGGCTTTCCGGGAAATTTTTCTTGCGGGACACGGCGGGTAGTCCCGAGCGGGCAAAATAGCTCCATCTTGCCCGCTCGGGTAGCCAATCACAGCGCAGGATTTGATTCATCTTGCCTGCTTACGGAGCTGGCCTAATAATTAAATCCATTTTTTTCATTGCTCATGTGATCATCGATCTAACTGATTCAGCGTAGATTTGAAAAAAAAAAAAAAGAAAACATACGAATCATAGAAATACGTCCTTCATTGCGTAGTAAATAAAACTCTTTATATTTCTAAATGCCCTGAGATGTTTACTACGAAACATTTGTTACCAGGAGACAATATCTCCGGAAAAATCGAGTACGCAGAGTTTATAAAGGTTGCTGGACAACGTAACACTTAATTATTTCTCTCTTTTCTCAAGAACCGAGGCAGGTTAAAAAAAGGATCGATCTCAAGACTTAAATTTAAATTTCGAAATCAGACTTAAGTGTTCTCATAATTATCTGGAGTTAAAAAACTTCTTGTTAAACAAAAGACAGTTGATGAACTGTACAGTTTGCGTATCGTAAAGGTAAAAAAGAACTTGGCCAGTATCCAGGCATCTTGACCTCACGCTTGGTCAATAACCGTATTTATTTAACTTAGGAGTTTGTGTTTATATAGCAGCCCTCACGGGAAATCACTGAGAAAGTATTGTTAACGGGCAATACGTGTGGCTTATGGCGTAAACAGTCAGGTCAAGGAAGTAGATCGATCCTCGATCATTAACTTGATTACCTATAATTAGCGAGCGCTTAAACACACCGCTTGTGGCACCAAACTCCGTTTAACTGAGTGGATGGAGTCTTGGCATGTCGTCTCAGTTTACGTGTGGATAGACTACTTCTATTACGACTAAAATATATTTAGATTACATTTTTCTTTCTTCTCTACTCAAATTTAGCTTTTATGCAAGAACTACACCTATATATATTTTGTTAGATAATGGGTTAAGCCTGTTGTCGTTAAATATAAATGTAGCTGTAGATATTGATATGCACCGAGGAATTCGAAGCATATTCATATTATTTATTATGGTGATACTGCTCGAATTTATTACTTCAATCAATCTTTCAAGTTGACTATTTTCAAAATGATATTAAAATGAAACATCGACATCGTGTTTGTATCTGATTCATGCGACCGAAACAGTGAAAGTGTGAGTCATGCAGCAGCTACTTAATAGCTTGAAGTGACTGGAAAATGAAACATTTTTGAAAAAAGGACGTTCTTGAAGAGGCTGAGTTAAGAAATTTGAGGAGTTTATTTGTTCATCAAATTAAGCGTCTCTAATTCAGACAGTAATCCGTTCTAATTAACAGCCAAACAATGGGGCTTTGAGCTCCAATGCGAAAAACAGGATATAACTGTTTATCAAGCAATATAAGTCCAGCTGAAATAAATACTATCCTTTCCAGCTTTTTCACTTAAAATAACCAATAACCACATTATCAGCTAGTGAAGGAAATAAAAAATATACACGGAGATAAACCTCGCCAAGAGGTTTTTGCTGATTCCATTATATCATGAATATTATGTTGATTATGTTGACAATGGACTCTTATGATGTACCTATAATTTTTAATAGTTCTGGCTATTTTTTTTATTTTCCTAACACGCTGGATCGATTTGCGCTCTCTCGTTATAGCTTCCCTTTTAGTTGGCGATGAAGTGGTCGATGCCACACGGAGCGAAGTGCTGCAGCGCAGTCGATATCGGAAAGGAAGTAATTGTCAATCAGCTAGAGCTGGAAAAAAGACAGAAGCTGCTGTTTCGCCTTGAATCACGGCTATATAAGTCACGGTGACTCTTCACTGAAGCAAACTGTTTGCCTGAAGTTTTGTGCGTACAGTTTAAGGAGCCAAGAACAAGTAAGATGGTGAGTCATCACAATTCTGATTTCAGTCGTCTTCTTGTAATTCGTTTAAAAATGTGTTTAGCTTTAACTGATCGACTTTAGTTTGAAACCTAAACGGGCCATTGTAGACTCATTGCGCCATTTCAGGTACGTTTCGAGGAGTTAAAATTGGAGAGGGAGAGTACCTTCAGTTTATTTTAAATTCCCGCGAAACCTTTTACGCATTACTAATACTTAGTTAATTTCAATGTGCGTTTCTTCTGGTGCAAAAATATGATATTATAACTGAGCATCAGTCGGTTGAAAGGTAAGATTTTAATATAGTTTATTATATTTATTTTTACTGTTATCTTATCCTTTTTGCTAGGGAGGTCCGTGTGTTGCCACAGTCTGTTTCATTCTGTTTTCGTTCCTCGGTCATTTGAGAGCTTCAGTGGTAAGCTAACATCAACTTTTAATATTGTTTGCCTACTTGAAGTCTTTAATTGTAATTATATTTTGAAGCACTTTATATGGGTGGATAGTGCAAAATTTGCAGCTTTGGTAGATTTCAACTTGAATGACTCACATCCAAGAAAGAGGCTCCAACAGAACGAGGATGCACTCGTACCTTTTTTGGTGCCCTCGTATCTTTCTCGGGCGCTCTTGTACCTTTTTCGAATGCTCTCGTACCTTTTTCCGACGCTCTCTATCTTTTTCGCATGCTTTCGTCGTACCTTTCTCGGATGCTCTCGTACTGTTTTCGGATGCCCTCGTCCCTTTCTCGGATGCTCTCGTACCCGTTTCTCGGATGCTCTCGTACTGTTTTTGGATGCTCTCGAACCTTTTTGGATGCTCACGGATCTTTATCGGATGCTCTCGAACCTTTTCAAGATGCTCTTGTACCTTTTTGGATGTTCACGGACCTTTATCGGAAGCTCTCGTCCCTATATCGGATGCTCTCGCACCTTTCTCGGATGCTCTCGTACCTTTCTCGGATGCTCTTGTCCCTTACTCGGATGCTCTTGTACTGTTTTCGGACGTTCTCGTACCTTTCTCGGATGCTCTCGCACCTTTTTCGGATGCTCTCGTACCTTTTTTGAATGCTCTCGTACCTTTTTAACTTGGAAAATATTATTTTCCAATTTGTAGTGGTGAAGCGATTTCACGGCATCACTCATTCACTCCTTCACTCCTTTACCTCCTGTTAGAAATTTGAAAGCCTGGGTTGGGGTGGGATGGGGGTGAACTCCCACATGAAAAGGTTAGGGATGCTTGTCGGAAAATTGAAATTTCACTCCTAAAGGAGAATAATATGGGATTTGTTCGAGCTTCATTAGATCCCCAGAAAGATACCACTTAACAAAGAATAGGTTCGATTACTAGCCACTGTTCAAGAAGGGATCCCGCGCGCAGTTTTAGATCCGACTCGCGTGCTCGAGAGATCAGCGGAAATCAAGCCTAAAGCAGAAATTAATGAGAGTGTTTCTTTTAATTATTACTTCTTCGAGTGCACCCTAAAGGATACTTTGACAGCTAAAAAATGGTGTCGTTTCGTCGTCAACACCTAAGTGAGACCAGAATCCTTGATTTGTACCCGAGACGACGAGCATCCCCGACCTTTTCGTATAGGAATTCCCCCCCTTCCCGGATTTCGAACATCCGCCGTTTAAGACCGTTTTATATTCGCTTACACCGTGTCAAGTTAGTTATTCTTTGTATATCAGACGCAAGTACTCAATATCTCACCGCAGAAGTGCTCCATTGAGTAAATTTTCGCACGAACGTTTTTAGAAATAGAAGCTACCTATAATTATATAAATAGCTTATTTCCCGAAGGTGTCCGCTCATACAGATTTAACCAGTCGATTGCCGAAAAAGAGAACGTTGAAAGTCACAAAATTGACGAGCTTTATGAATTTTCGAATGATTCAAGCCGTGATTAAATATTTTAGACGATAAACAATCAATTGAGGAGAATTCGAACGACGTCTTCCGCTGCCTATTTATACGATATTGTAACTGAATACACATAAATACGGACATGACGAAATGAGGAACAAACAGTTGATGAATAGAAGAAACGACATTACGCAAGGCTGGGAGTTCTACAGTCTTTAATATCGCCTTGGAAAGGGAAGGGAAAAAAAGAAAGGAAAAAAAAGAAGAAGTTCCCACCAAGTATGAGCCCCGCCGAACAGGACACAACTTTGTTGAGCGGACGAGACGTGGTGCTCTCCTTGTGGTATAGTGACTCTACGCTGAACGCATTTTTTTTTTTTTTTAAATTTCTAAGGCGAGAAAAGGTAACAAAGGGACTGGAAAAAAATCACTGATACTGGCTGGGAAAATAAAGAACGAAAAAAATGACAGGAATGAAAATGAGAATTATGTCTTGCTTTGGTGATCGGACAAGAAGCGTTCCTTCTTTATAATTGCCTCGGTCCTCCGGTCTCTCGGATCGATAACTTCATGAATTTTTTCAAGTGTTACATCTCCCCAGTATTCTCTTACCGTTGCGTTTTGCACTATTTCTTAACAATGCCAGTGCGCTTTAACTTTAACTTAACTTACCGATTAAAAACTCAAGTCAGTGGCATCAAAATTGTCACTGTTTACAGACGACCCATTTTCCAAGTTGAGTGGGTCATAGCCACTTTGATTGGATGCTCTCGTACCTTTTTCGGATGCTCTCGTACCTTTTTAGAAGCTTTCGTACCTTTTTCGGATACTCTCATACTTATTTTCGGATGCTCTTGCACCTTTTTTCGAGTTAAATCGTGTTTGGCACCACTTATAAGCCACAAATAAGCTGAAACAAGATTTAAATTATTAACAGGAGCCATAATCGGCTCCTGTTATTAATTAAAAACATTATTAAACATCAATTAAAAACAATAATCTTTCATTATCATTTTAGGCGAACCGCACCCAGTTTCTCTTTAAGGACAGCACTCGATGGTTTCGTTCCAAAATTTTCCCAAGGATATTCCACCTCTCAAAGGCTATATCTGATATTATAATTCATTGAATATTTTCGCTCGCGTCCAGTCGATCTAAACGTATCACTTGACTGAATATTCCCCAGCTAAAACTGGGGAATATCAGAGGATACTCCCCAATTTTCAACACTGCGCGTGTTGCGAAAAATATTTGCAGGATAAAAAACACAATAGCCTCCATTTGGCGCAAAAGTATGCTCAGATATTTGTCCTTGGACATTATCTGTTCCTGAAAGCTCACAGCTTTCCTCGAGCTACGCTCTCAGAAAACTGTTCGCTTCTTGCAACAGATAACGTCCGCGGACAAATATCCGTGCATATTCTCACGCCAAATGGAGGCTATTGTTTCTTTATAATCCACCAAATATTTTCGCGACGGAATATTCCCCAGCTAAAACTGAGGAATATCCGAGGATATTTTCAAAACCAATTTTCAAAACCGTGCGCTTTGCGAAAAATGTTTGAAGGATAATAAACACAATAGTCTCCATTTGGCGCGAAAATATGCTTGGACATTTGTCCGCGGACATTATCTGTTCCGAGAAGCTCACAGTTTTCCTCAAGCTGCGCTCTCGGAAAACTGTTCGCCTCTCGCAACAGATAATGTCCGCAGACAACTATCCAAGCATATTTTCGCGCCAAATGGAGACTAATGTTTATGTGTCGCAAATTAAGTTTTTTTCTCTCGCAAAAACCAAAAAAACCACGCTATCATAATATTATTACTTTTATTCTTATAATTTTTACAGATTCCAAAGGAGGAAATAGCGGAGAATAGAAATTTGGAGCAGTATTACCTTCGCATAACCGAGAGTGGAACAACCTTTGCAGAGAAAATCGAAATAGACGAGGAGAAAGACTTGGAATATTTTCATGTTCCAGCTCACAACGGAGTGAGAGAGGCCTCTGACTATTTGTACGATTTTACAAATGTACGTGTATCCCTGATAATTTGGCGTCTCTTTAATAATAGAGTCAAATAGACCATATTCTTATTCTCGATGTTGGACTAGAACTAGGTTTCAACGGAATGCGGGGAGTCTTTTCAAATGCAAATGACATTGATCTCTTTGTAATGCTATTCCCCTGCATAACTGCCTCCGTTGCAAGCTAGTTCCAGTTTAATACCGAGAATACATGTTTCGTAGATTTTAAGTTAGTTTTAACATAGTTAATAGACTGTTTATGAAGCGCAGCAAACATCAAAGGAGCAAACAAAGATGCCAAGATTTATGTTGGAAGGTCCACGACAGTGCACAATCTTTTGTTTTGCTCTCCTACTCTATGCATGAATTACGTAACAAACACGTTTCTACTGGTTAGTTCCTTAGTACGGAGTAAACAGCTATTGAGTTCTGTGCACGGTCAAGGCCAGAAATGCGAACAAAAACGTACAACAAAGAACTTTGTCGGGTTTCACAACTATTTCCTTCTATTAAGAATGGTTTTAATTTAAACTAGCAACAAATTGTTTCGTAAATCAATGTGACCCATATGTATGGGCTCCTGATCATGTGGCCCAAATAAAGTCAGTCGTCTAAGCTATCACCATTTTCATGTAATATATTCTATTTAAGGACATATCTGTGCGTCGGGTGAAAAATAAAGCCATTTGCTATCTGGGACCACTTCCGGACGACTTGCCAAAGCCAGCCCACCTCAAGGCTGAGTTGCAAGGGGTATGTATGGTTAAGAGATTAAGAAGTGCGTTTCCACAAGTTACCGATGAGGAACAAAATGCACCAATTTGACGTAATACGTCAAACACGAAAGACTGCGTTTGACCACATTTCCAAACACCGAGAAGAGAGTGTTTTCGAAGCGTTTTAGAAATAGGGTCAAACACTGTCTTGAGTGTTTGATATATCTTCTTAATCGAAACTAGAACTAAGAGGAAAGTGGAGAATTAAAATCGTTGAAGGCTATGCTAATTCAGATCAAATATCACGGTAATGGTTTTCCTTTGTTTCAACTCGATGAATTACCAATGAGTTTAGGAAGTCTTGAACCCTTCCCGGTTTCTTCTCCATTCTTCTGCTCAGTTCATTTCAAACTGTATGCTTATTCACCCTTACGGAAAAGTGCATCAACTGAGTACCCAGGTAACTGCAAACGTTTGAAAATGCGTTGAAATCATTAAACTCACCAAGGATGTCACAACGTTAGTTCTCTCATATTAGTGTGAATCAATAATTAAGGTTTTCAATTTGTTTTGGTTTTCAGCTTTCCCAAGTTCCCCCCTATGAGAACAAAGTCATTGTTCAGAACTATTGGGTCGTATCAGAGCAGGTCGACAAAATCTTTCTCCGACGACAAGTGCAAGAATTCTGTGGCCAATTCCCAATCTATCGCTTGCAAGAAGTTGACTTTAATTCTACTCGCGAGGCAGAGATCGACGGAGGACACACCCGTTTAGGTAAATAGCACTTAAAGTTCTAAAGCAACAACGGTGTGCCAAAAAGGCAGCTGCCTTGTACTTTAATTTTTATTTAGTTTTTGCTCCGTGGAGTAACTAACTGAAACGCCGATAGAAGAAATATATCAAGTGACAACTTTAAAGTGCTTATCATAAGATTATAAATTAAGCGTTTCGCTATAGGGCAACAGATGAGCTGCACCTCTTTAAAACCTCTATTTTGATTCGGTCTGGTTAATCTGCAACTCTTTTATTCTTAGGGCGTGGGGCATCGCTTGTGTTTTTTACCTATTTTTTCTTATCGCCAGTTATAAAGAACCTTGTAAATGGTGAAAGTCGCCCCCGGGATACAGATAACATCATCATCGTCATCATCATCATCGTAGCCTGTGTACATTCGCCCTCTCGCCTATAAAAAATCTGGGGATAGGATTTTTTTTTGAGCGGAGGGGGTGGATCTACACAGGCTAACTACAACACCGTATATCGAGGATTTTAGGACGCGTCCGGCTGCACCCCAGGTTAACTAAATATAATCAGTTTGGCTGCAGCGGTGTCAGAAAATAATATTTATGTTCTCTGTTGTTGTACAGAGTCGAATAGCTGGTTTTCACATGACGTCACTAAAATTCAAACTACAAAAATATTGATCTTCCTGCGATTGTACTTTAATGATGTATGAGAGCAGCTGAAAACTAATATTCATACAAATTTTCGCTCCGAATGGGTTCTTGGTTTAGTGATACGCTACATTTGAATTTCTAAGCTTTTGCGTGACGCGGCATGACATGACGACGTAGAGAGCTGTCATGATGGTTAAAAAAGTGACTTATTTCGGGGAACTTGGCTATCTGAACAGTTAATGTCTTAGAAAAAGTATTATCTTAATGTTTTAGAGTTCCTCGAGGGATAAATTCACACTTTTGTAACAAAACTCAGTGCCAAATGTTTCTCTTGGTTTCCGGCCGCCATGTTGGTGCCCATACGGATGGGCACCAGCATGGCGTCTCAATACAAACCTCTATAAATTTGAGTAAAAAATTTATCCGCATATCTCGCGTAAGAAAAACTGCTGTGACCAGAATTTTGGCGAGAGTCTTTGCATATTTACCTTCTTTCATTTCCCAGATTGTGGACTTTATCTATCGACCGGTTTTGATTTTTATTTTGATCTATTTTGAATTGCGTGACACTGAAAACCAGTAATAGAAAATATTTGCGGTGAGGCACTAGAGATAATCGTGGAGTTCTGTTCAAATATAAACTATTAAGCCTAGTTCACACTAGCGACATACATTTAACGGTATAACTACATAAACATGACGGCAAACGGACGTCTTTTCGTTATGTTAGCAGTGTGAACACCGTAACCTATTGACATAACAGCAACATAAACGACATAAGGAAAAAACAACATAACGACATAAGGAAAAAACAAACACCCTGATCTTTAACCTGTGTCGTAATTCATATTACCGACATAAGGGATTATGTTGTTATGTCGTTTATGTCGTTATATCATAAGTGTGAACCAGGTCTTACCAGGTAACTTATATATCTAACAAATTGACGTCAGTTCCTGTTATTGATCATGTATTCGTCATAACATTGTCAAGGTAAATAGATCGGCCGACTACTGCGACAATGTTATAACGAAATTCATTATCAATAACAGGACAGACGCATGGAAAACTGAGGTCAATTTTTTTTTTCAATAACAAATAGTCAAATTGTCCGCTCTCGCTCGTTGACGCAACGCATAAATTATAGCGGAGCCCCATACACATATAGGAAAGAAAAGGAAACCCATAAATTGTTTTTCTCATGGTTATCATCGCTGGGGTATTGCTCATGGACGCGTACGAACGACGACGACGACCACGGAATCGCGCAAGGTGCCAGCCATACTCCAGATAAAAGATTAACAGACATGCAGCCTTGATTTATATCCTCCTTCTTTGATATTAGACATCCATGTTATGGTCAATTGACACCTGTCAAAACAGGGTATTCGCTGACTAATATAACGTGACCATATCACAGGTTCACGTTTTGAGCTCAACGAGGTAACTTGTTTTTTTGAAGTTGACCGCTGACCAAGAGCTGGTTTTCTTTTGGATCGCGGGCTCATCTTAGTTAACTTGTTGTAAACGGGGCCGGGTTGTTCGGAAGTCGGTTAATGCTAACCCAGGGTTAAAGGTTAACGGAAGTATAAATATTTATTGTATACAAATGTTTCGTTTTGTGCATTTTGAGATTATTCAAACTCAAAACAGAAGGCCAAATAATATACAGAAGTTACAAAACTGAAATCAAAATTCTCGCTTAACCTAGGTTATCTTAACCGGGCTTTGAACAACCCAGCCCAGGAGCTCCGCTTTTAGGCTTGCCGAAATCTATATATTAAATTCATGTGTCTGTCCGCTTATTGAAAATGAAAATTAGCAAATAAGGGCGCAAGAATTTCTGCAGTTGTTGTAAAATAACTTTTTCATCAACAGCCAGAGATCTTCAACGCGCCAATTTGACTGGACTGGGTTTCTGCAAGGAAGGATTGCCATCCGAGATGGACTGCAGCCCGGAAGAATATACCTTTACGATCGAGATCCGTGACTCGGCCTGCACTTGGTGGCTGGTCTGTCAGTTTGACAAGGGAGCACGCGCCGTCATGTGTGAAAAGTGGGCACACAAGATGAGCAGTATGGTTTGTTACAGTGTTAGCTGTCCTCCTAAATCAGTGGATCAAGCCTGATGACGTATCATGGATGAGGAAAATAAAATACGCTGTTACTAGCCCAAGGACTAACCATAAGTTAAGATACATTTGTTAATTTGATTGCACTGATAAATACACTTTTAGATATTCCTTGTCAATCGATTTATAATGAAACAAAATAAACTTGAAGACGTAAATTTATAACTTGTGTTTGATTAAAGTCTATGGTTCTGTCTCCACCCTATTTGACCTTTGAGAGTTTTTCCTTCTGCTTTAAACTAAAGACGCGGAATTCATACAACCTTTTCCAGACGAACTAACCAAAATGCTTGAAAGCAATAATAAAAATAGTAATAGTAATAGTAATAATAATAATAGTGATAGTAATAATAATAATAATAATAATAATAAAAATAGTAATAGTAATAATAATAATAAAATTGGCAAAACTACGACGCTATGGTAAAAACAGCTGAATACCGTCTATTCGTTTTTTCAATTAGTCTGTACATGTATATTTCGGTCAGACAGGCTTCAAATAATCTTCATCAGGGTTAAAAAAACGAAGCAAGGATGGAAACAAGCGGTTATGACCAGTTTATAAATGCATATTAGGGAAATTGAAAAAAGGCTTCAAATAATCTTCATCAGGGTCAAAAAACGAAGCAAGGATGGAAACAAGCGGTTATGACCAGTTTGTAAATGCATATTAGGGAAATAGAAAAAAATAAAAATAAAAATAAACCAGCCAGGCGTTTCCTTTTATACCTGAAATGTAGCGTAAAAATTGCTTGAATTACCCAACACGTGAGCAAGACTGGTCCATGGAAGAATATGGTCTTTGTGGGTGCGAATCTTTCGATAAAGCAAATTAAGGGTATGTTCCATTAGGATGATCCAGATAAAGATCACTGAGTCGTCCATGATCCAAGATCACTCGGTTTATGGTGCATCAATTAAAGGAGCCGTCGATTCAATTCCCCACTAAGCAAGGATAAGTGTCCATTTTTTTATGCATTAATATTTGAATAATCTTGGTTCATTAATCCTCGTCCAAATCATTCCTAAGAAAAGCACCTTA